TTTTACTTTGAGTTATTTTGGGTTCGAAAAAAACATTTGTGACGGAAAAATCGCAAATGTGTTATCAAGAATTGTTTTCTATGAATTACTCTTTACGCTGGCTTTCGAACCATGTACTCACGGAATACCAGCGTAAAATTGCAGCATAACAATGCTGTGTTTTTTGTGGTTGGTATAGAGAAACGAACACTCCTTTTACTTGAAATAAGGCATTCGATCTCTAGTAGTCTTCAAGGGTCTCTTATTGAAGATATTATAATTATCCATTATAAAGGTCACATCATCCACTTACAATCGGGCGACTGAGAGCTCAAATACCCTTTACTAAGTACGTAGAGTGATTGATGATGCGCTTACGGGAACCTCAGGGTTTATGTTACATGTACATAAATGTTGTTAGCAATGCAGTCAAAATTAGTTTCATCTCTCCCTGCTATCACCATCGCCTATTTACAAAACGATTTCCTGTTAAAATATTTTAAGCAGTGCTCATTTCATTCATACCGATGTCTGATCCATTCTAAATGATTTATTATTAGAACGCGAATTAAAAGAGCTTGTTTCGTGTTAATTTATTATACAGAGATGTATCGTTCATTCACAGCCACTATTTTATGAATGACTGCGCCTCGGAGCAGCGGCGTAGCATTGAGTTGTAAAGCTAAGTGCCGCGGGTTCGAAACCCACACGGAATAAGTGTTTACAAGCGTATGTCTGGCCTACAAATAATTGTTACGGGTCTGGATGTTTGTTCTTGTGCACTTCGTGTATATAAAATGCCTCCGCAATATAAAAGAAAACCCATTAATACAACGTTATATAAAAAATAATTAGTAAGAATATAAATTCTGGCGTAATGAATTGTGCTGCACATGTTAGTAAATGAGAACGCAACCATTTATATTTTATTGTTGGCTTTACTGTTAATTTGAGTGCTTTATCTTGGCAACATTTTTTTAACCTTCTTATCCTCATACACTACTATATTCAAAGGGTTCTAGTGTTCTGTGATTATACTTCATGATTCATGTACTATACTGTGTTATTGTTAATAAAATACATTTCTGTATATTTCAGAGTTTTACGGTTACTTAAATGATTTCATCCAGAAATATCATCATGATAGCAGAGCGTGGTTCATAAAAATAATTAAAAGTAAAAACGCAGAAAGAACAAAATCCGGGGGCGGCGTATTTATTCCATCACGTCACCGTCGCATTTTGAGGTTACCGCATAACCTAACCTGAAGCGGCATGCTAACTCAGTCACATTGTTGAAAAATAGTTATTACATTTAGAAAATATCCAGTACAAGCCACAATTCATTTCACATTGACAGACTTCTCGGAAGAGACAATTACGTGAGTTGGAAATTCATAGTGGAAGCATATTTCAAGTTTGAAGATTAGTGGAGTTGTGTCGGAGAGACAAATACCGACCCCAGAAAAGCATAAAAGGCAAAATTCAAGCTTACTTTGCTGCTCAATCCGAACAATTACTTGCATGTACAGCGCAACTATATACAAAGAAGTCTGGGACAGTATACAGAGTAGGCTTTCGTTGGAGATTTTTTTTAATAATATGCAAACAAGCACACAGTCCATCCGATGGCAAGTGGATGCTGTGGCCCATAGACATCTACATTTAACTTCGCATAAGAATCAAAATGCAGATGCGTTGTCACCCTTGAGGACTAAGATGGAATGCGTCGACTCCAGTAAAACGGGTCTCCGATTCTCTACACTCAACACACGAAACACAGCAGCAATAAGCTGCCATTTTACGCTGGTATTCTTTAAGAGTGTGGTCCTTCCAAGGTCGAGCCACCCCATTCATGCTACAACTATAATAGGCGCAGTGTGGCTCTACCACGTATAAAAAGTTGCCCTATTGATAGATCGTAATCACAACTACATTGGACAGTTCTCGAAGTGTAGATGATTATGTGAATAAGATAATGTAGATAGCTCATAAGCTAAGGAATATCAAATTTGGTTTTTTTTTAGTGGAAGAGGGGGCCAACTAGCATGCGGCTCACCTGATGTTGAGCGACTACCGCCGCCCATAATCAATCGCAACACCAGGGGAATTGCAGGTGCGTTGCCGGCCCTTTAGAAAGGAGTAAGCTCTTTTCTTGAAGGTCCCCAGGTCGTATCGGTCCGGAGAAATCGCCGGTGGTAAACTATTCCACAGAGAAGTTGTACGCGGAAGAAAACTCCTTTTGAAACGTACAGTGGTGGACCGCCAAGCATCCAGATGGTGTGGATGGTATCGGGACGTTTGCCGCGTTCACGAAATTTGGCGGTTGGGATTAATCCGAACAATTCCTCAGAGCACTCTCCATGGTATATGCGAAAGAAAATGCAAAGAGATGCAACATCTCTTCGCAGTGCCAGTGAATCGAGCCGATCGGAAAGCACTCGGTCGTCGACGATTCGAGCCGCTCTGCGTTGGAGGCGGTCAAGTGGAAGGAGCTGGTACTGGAGAGCCCCAGCCCAGAGATGGGAACAGTATTCCATGTGCGGCCGAACCTGCGCCTTGTAAAGTTGCAGGCGGTGTGCCGGCATGAAATACTGTCCCGCTCTGTTGAGCACGCCAAGCTTTTTAGAGGCCAATTTGGCCTTCTCTTCCAAGTGACCACGAAACTGCACGTCACTCGATATGTACGACTGGCCGAGGTAACAAGGGGAGTGCCTTGAAACTGAGGAGATACGACAAAGGGGTTCTTTTTAGCTGTGTCTTCTGGGGGTTAAACTGGACTAGATTTAGTCGCCCCCAATCCGAGACTCCGTTCAGCAAAGACTCGAATTCAGACACAAGTTTGTCCCGGCACTCGGAGACTTTTTCCCGAGAAATATTGGCTCGGCCGTTGTAAAGAGCATCACCAGTGCTGTCATCTGCATAGCAATGAATGTTACTGGTTTGCAACATATTATTGATATGCAGAAGAAACAGCGTTGGCGATAGCACGCAGCCTTGTGGAACACCAGCATTAATAGGCTTGCAATCGGAGCTTGCACCGTCTACAACGACCTTGATGCTCCGATCTGCAAGAAAGCTGGTGATCCAATCGCACAATTTCTCGGGAAGCCCATAGGAAGGGAGCTTCGAAAGAAATGCTTTGTGCCAAACCCGGTCGAAGGCCTTCGCAATGTCCAAACTAACGGCCAATGCCTCCCCCCTTGGACTCTACTGCCTCCGCCGCATCTGTGAGTTAGGTAGACCAGAAGATCACCAACTGACCGACCACGGCGAAAACCGTATTGGCGGTCACTAATCAGCTGGTGATCCTCAAGGTACCTCATGAGCTGGCAGTTTACAATGGACTCCATTGTTTTGGAGAACAAGGAGGTGATGGCGATAGGCCGGTAGTTAAACGTGTCTGAACGGTCGCCTTTTTTAGGGATCGGGTGGACGAAAGCCGTCTTCCATGATTTTAGGACTATGCTTAGGGAGTAGGAGTACCGGAAAATACGCGTTAAAATCGGTGCCATCTCTGGAGCACACGTCCTCAGCACAATTGGGGGGATTCCTTCAGGCCCACTCGACTTGTGGATGTCCAGGGAGAGGAGTGCTTTGCGAACCGAGCGCTGTGTGAACTGCACTTCCGGCATGGAGAACTCACACCTCGGGATAGTCGGCGGCGTACTTCCCCCGTCAACGTTGGACGCAAAGAAAGAGTCTAGAAGATCGGCTTTCTCCTTTGCGGTATGGGCCGGTGAGCCGTCCTCCCTGTGCAGAGATGGAAGAGATGGCTGGCGGAAATTCCACTGACAGCGAGAGACCAGAATGCACGGATTCCAGAAGGAAGACGAAATAGTTTCTCGCCAATTCTGCCTATGTGCTCTGACTTTGCCTTGGCAATGACTCTTTTGAAGGAATAGAGGCGGAATTATACGTCTTGTTTAGAGCGCTGTTGTTTACATCCCGGAATATTGATGCGTCAGCCCAGGCTTGGTAGCACTTCTGCTCAGGGCATGATGCTATTTTACAGGAGCGACCAAACCATGGCTGAGATTTGCCTCCAGTGGTCACCGCAGTGGAAGTAATAAAAAGTTCCATACCCTGAAGTACCACATCAGCGACATAATCCGCAACAACGTTGGGATCGTCCGGCGAGAAGCAAACCCGCCCCCAAGGGTAGGATGCAAAGAAAGACCGCATCCCATCCTAATCGGCTGACCTATAGTGCCAAACACGGCGGCACCCTGCAGAATGCAACTGCGATTTCAGCGTGAGTGACACCACACTCCGGAAAAGACAATGGTCCGAGGATCCTAAAGGGGCGTCGATGGAAATCTGATATCCGTCCGGGTGAGAGGTCAGCAGAAGGTCCAATAGGGAAGGTGCATCTTCTTCTCTCCACATCTGGAATCCGCGTAGGCGAAGTTACCAGTTGTGTCAGACCATATGCCAAGGCAAAATCATGAACAGATCTCCCCGCATGATCGGTTAAACGTGAACCAAGCCATTCGGCGTGATGGGCGTTAAAGTCGCCGTGGATCACGATCTCTGCGGAGGGGATCTGCTGTAGCAACGAATCTGTAGCCAGGACGTGGTCGAAGAGTCGGTCTGTTTCGGCATTACCGCTATGGGACCTATAGAGGCACCCGTAGATGCGCGGATGGTCGTCGCTGTCTACACGTAGTAGTAATTCGGCCTCGCTCGCTCATGTCGATCGGATGTTTGGTTGCGGCAAATAATTTTGTGTCTAACAGGATTATGTCGAAGTGTGAAAAATGCAACAAAAATATTACAAAGGCTCATCCTGGTGTAGAGTGTCATCGTTGTGAGAAGATGGTGCATCTGAACACAGAATGCTCAGGGCTTACCACCAAACAGTGGAATGCGCTTCGGGCAAATGAAAACCTAGATTGGTCGTGCTCTGAATGCAAAAACACTTCATCTAGACGAACTTCGATTGTGATACCTGAAGATAATGATGATGAAGCATTTGGATCGCCTATAACCTCAGCATCTATTCCATTAGATGGTAAGAAATTGCTGCTAGAAATATCAACAAAAGTGAAGTGTGCTATTCAACGTCAATTGAGCCAGTTTGCAGAGTCTGTGGAATTCAATTCTAGAAAACTTGATGATATACTCGAAACCGTAGATGCATTTAAAACTACAGTCAAAGAAATAAAAAATAAGAATATCGAATTATCTAACCGCAATAAAAACTTAGAATATAGAATAAGTTCATTAGAACAGCGTTTACAAGAACAAGAACAGCAACAGCTTATTAAAACTATTGATATTTTTAATATCCTATTCACTGACAACGAAGATCTTTTCAACGTCGTGCAAAAAATTCAACAAAAACTTGAATTGGAAGAAAACATTACAGAAGTAAAGCGCTGTGGTTACAATAGAAGTAATTCCGGAAAACTACGTGTGGTTCTACCATCAGAAACTGTTAAAACAAAATGGCTTACAAAAGCAAAGGATACAAAGGTCATGGTGAACGATATCTTACCTAGCGCATCATCGTTGACTGGTAAAAAAAACCATCTACATAATTGAGGCATTAACCATATACAATAAGACCTTACTTGCAAATGCCAGAAGAGAACTTAAAAACAGCGGAGTATACAAATATGTGTGGTGCAAGAATGGAGTTATTAGAGCAAGAAAAAGTGAAAAAGATCAATCGTTCATAATTAGAACTGATGATGACATTAAAGCCTTACTACAAAAGGAAGTCCATGTACAGCCGCAATAAATTATTCTATATAGGTACTTAATTTCAAAAAAATATACCAAAAAGGTTTTTTTTGTTCTTTATTTTTTAATGGACTTACAGTTAGACGATATTTGTGAATTGAGTAATTGTACTAACATAAATTCATTTTTTAATCATATTTCTGTTAAAAATTGTCAAACTAACCTTTTATGCACGCACATAAATATAAGGTCCTTGATTAAAAACTTTGATGCTATAGAACAATGTGTGTACTCATCTAACGCATGTATAGATATTATATTGGTAACAGAAGTTAATATATCTGACTGCCTAAGCGATATGTTTAACCTACCGGAATATAACATGCATACAGTGCTGCGTAAAAACCGAAGGGGTGGCGGTATAATAGAATATATACACAAGAGGAATAAGTTTACAATAATTAGTAACTTATTAACAAGATATTTTGAACATATATTATTTCAAATTTGAACTCCATCTTTTTACACGGCAACTGTATGTGCAATTTATCGCCCTCCTAATCTAAGCAAACACTTATTCATCGACGAACTTCGCACTTTGATCGGTAGGGTGGACACAAATTATGAACTATTTATCCTCGGAGATATGAATATAGACTTGCAAATTTATACTCCTATAAGATATAAATACAACTGCATGTTACATAACTACGGCCTTGCGTGTGGGATATCGCAGTACATTAGAATTGAATTAATTGACGATAGAATAATCATGTGTACGCGATTGTATTGATCATGTGTACGCGAGATCACGCAAACGAGATGTTTACACCGAGGCGCTTGGTTTGGTGCTGGCGGACCACCGAGCGGTAGTGCTTGCCTGTGTGGAACAAACAAGCATGCGCGTATACGGAATGAAACTACTTATAAAAATATATATAACAATGAAAAATTAAAACTTTCATTGAATGATATTAACTGGAAGAAAGTTGATGATATGGTCTTTTCAGATACTATATTACAGTATATATATAAAAATATAAATAAATGCTACAACGACGCGAAAATTACATCAAAAATTAAAAACACCAGTAACAAACATACCGAAAATAAATTGATAACTTCACGTATTTTAAAAGCTTACGAGTACAGAGATAAACTATTTTACCAATGGATAAAAGATAATAATAATAAAATTTTAAAAACACAATATAATAAAGCGCGAATCCACGCAAATAAATTAATTAGATCCTGCAAAAATAAATACATTTATAATGAAATACATAAATATAAAGATAATTTAAAACAACTCTGGTTTATTCTTAACAGAATAACAGGTAGAGTGTGTAAGACAGTGGATACAGTACTCTTAAATGCGTTTGGGGGCACAAACAAAAATAAAAATATATATTGCAAATAACATTGCGAATAAATTTCATAGTGGCGTTCAAAACATAATACCTCTATGTAAAAATAATATTTTAGATAAAATAGAATACAGACAACCAGTTAACGTAACAATGAATTTTCAAAAAGCAACACCTAAAGAGATCCTTAAAATTATTAAAACAATAAACGGTAACAAAGCTCCGGGTCTTGACAGAATTCGCGCGATAGATATAAAACGAATTTGTGAAGAAATTGCTCCGGCTATTGCAAAACTGGTAAATGTCTGCATAAAGAATAATAAATATCCTGACGAAGGGAAGGGAGGGAAGGGAAGGGATCCTGGGAAGCAAACAGGATTATGATAATTACCGTCCTATAACTATATTACCTACGATAGATAAGATTATAGAAAAATACATAGCTTTTATTAGCAAATTTAGAACTTTTACGGGCTAAATAACATTCTTAATGACACACAGTTTGGGTTTCAACCTAAAAAAAGCACAACGCAACTACTTTCACTATTTACTAATAACGTACATGGAAATCTTAATGAGAGAAAACATGTATTGCTCTTATTTATCGACTATAGCAGGGCATTCGATACTTTACGCCATGATGTATTACTAGAGCGACTAGATGACTGTGGAATTAGAGTACCGATTCTTGACTGGTGTCAGAACTATCTCAAAAATCGTTGTTACTATGTCAAGGTAGGGGATGCCTTAAGTGATAAAGTTTTGGCGAGTGAAGGAACAGCACATCGTTCTGTATTAGGACTGCTACACTACATCACTTACGTGAATAATATCAACAATGTGGTTAACAACTGTAAAATCTTCCAATTTGCTGACGATACCTGTCTGTTAGCAGCCCACCACAATATGGATAAGGCGGTAAAACTGTTACAGGAGGATTTTACGAGGCTCATGCAGTGGTCACATGATGCAGGTTTTGTACGTTATTCAAATAACACTAAAATAATGTACGTGAGCTCGAGTCAAAACAGATTAAAACATGACATTAATCTTAAGGGTCATAATCATACATGTCTTCATAATATCCAAAGTTCAACCCATAATAATAATTGTGAATGTCCCCAGATTGAAGTGGTAGAAAAATTTAAATATTTAGGTTTAATAATCGATGACCGTATGAAATGGACCTATCACATTGAATCTGTATGTGATAAGCTACGAGCGATCTTAGCAAAATTTTACCTCATCAAGAGTAAAGTACCTTACCACATGCTAATGTTACTATATAAAGCACTCGGCGAATCAATAGTTTCGTATGGGTTAAGCAGTTATGGACGCACGTATAAAACCCACCTTGAAAAAATATACGAGCTACAATTGCGCATTCTTAAATGTATCATCCCTCTCAAAATCAAAGATAAATTTTAAAAAAATCCTTATGGTCTCTTTCATCATTGCAATATACTACCAGTACACGACAGGGTGAAATACCAACTACTGCTTGAAAATTATAGCAAGGAAGAATAATGATTTCTTAAATTTACGCGAACACTACACATTGAATAAAACTATTACTTACGGATTTTATCGCGTTTAATTACTTTAATTTATTTTTATTATTATCCCGACGTTTCGGGTGCTTTACAGCACCCATGATCACGGGGGGGGGGGACTGAGATGTTGACGGGGATAATAATAAAAATAAATTAAAGTGCGCGGTTTAATTTTTTTGTTAAAAATTCTTTATTTTATAATTTTTTGTGGCTATAATCTACTAATTACTACATGCTTAATTTTTGATTACTTTTAAAATAGCTACATACCTTATTTTAGCTATTAACTATTATATAATCCTATTTTAACTATTATTTGTTTAAAGCTGTAATCGACCTCGAAAATAAAATGTGTGCTAAAGGGCAGGCATATGCGGCAATGAGTAGAGTAAAAACACTTAAAGGTATTGCGTTATCTGATCTAGATCCAAATAAGATATTGCACACACCTCACAATGGACCAGCTTTAGCAGAAATGCAGAGAGTGAGAGGTCTACACACAATAGACTGACAGGTCTAAAGCTCATTCATCGTGAGGTTTTTTTTGGTAATGTAATGTAATTATTATGTAATGTTGTAATACACAACTCAGTATTAAATTCTGTAAGTAAACAATAAATCACCCCTATTTTCTCACCCTTAGGATAATTTTTTTTTTCGAAATTTATATGAGACCAATTTCGACCCTATGTATTCTATGATATACCCTATCCAATAAAAAACGAATTATCAAAATCGGACTAGTCTGTAATAAATCACCCGTATTTTCCCACCCTTAGCATAAAATATTTTTCCTCATTCATATGGGACCAATTTTGAAGCACTCGTCCATTAAAAAAAAGAATTATCTAAATCGCACTACTCTGTAAAAAGTTATGCGTGGTCATACATAAAAAAGTTATTTGATCCTGCAGGCCATGCCTGAAACTTCCCGCTAATTTCAAATGCAAAGCGCACAGATTTTCATCAAATTATGTTGCGAAATCTCGAAATTATCGCGTTTTCTTCAAATTATTTCTCCTTCGATATCGCACGAACTAATGAACCGATTTTTATTTTCCAAACGGCATTCGACGATTTTAACTCGATTTTCGGAAATCGCGGTGATACCAATAACTTTTCTATTTTTGAAAATTTTCAATTTTCTTAGCGGGAAGTTTAAAAATATACGCGTTCACTTGAGAACCTCCTCCGTTTTTTCGTCGATTGAAAACAAAACTCCCGCAGGAACTTCAATGCTCAGAAAGTTCAGCATTCTTCACTAGGAAGACAACAGGAAACCACAGTTCAGGAAAGGCATGTATTCAAAAAGGGTCTCAATGTTACAATAGTAACAAACATGGACACTTTGCCAAAAACCCCGGTGCCGTGCCGCCGTGCCGAAGAACAACATTGAAAAAGTAGACGAAAATAAAAGTTTTGTTGCAGCATTTTCAGCTTGTTCACAGACAATGAATCCGGACCTATGGTGTGTGGACTCAGGTGTCTCCATTCATATGACTAATAGATGTGACTAGATGTGTGATGTAACAAGTTCATCGATACCTACCATGACTGTTGCCAGTAGGACACCGCTATCTGTGGAAAATATGGGAAAGGTAAATTTATTGATAAATGGTAATGAACAACATCGGCGACGAGGTTCGCCACCCGTCACGTTCTGTCTCCCGGAGGGGCGAAAAGTGGATTGCGGAAACCCGTCTGGCTACGCTGAATGTATGTGGAGGAATGAATGATAAGATGGATGAAGTATGCGAAATGATGAATGACAGAGGAATAGATGTGTTATGTGTGAATGAGACGAAACGAAAGGGAAAGGATGCCACTGCACATGGCACGTATACCGCGTATTGGTCTGGTGTAGGCGAGACCGAACGGGCATGCCAGGGAGTCGGTTTCATCCTTTCAGAAAGAATGGGTCAATGTGTGAAAGAGTATG